CCGTCACTGTGAAGGCGACAGGGAGCTGCGCAGGACTGAGGGCCATTTCTTTTCAACTTTCTTTCCGTTAATCAGTTAACATGTATTAATTTCAGTTAATCTATTTTTTGATTATCATGTATCAACTTTTTTTTTCACGGAAACGGAAATTCATTCCTTAATAAGTCATTTAATGATCTATCAAGAATTTAAATAAAATCCACTTACAATTATGCATCATTTTCGGATGCAAAAATTTATCCGTTAACAACAGTATTAAAATTTAAATTTTGCGCGTTTTATAGCTACTATGTTTACTAGAGTGTTAGAGGAAACGCTGGCAATTTTTAACTAAGTAAGGTAAAAGGCAGTACGGACCTCAAAGGCCCTGTGAGGGAATGGAAGAGGATAGTAACCAGGGCCAGGAACAACGGCCCATTCAGCGCAAGGTATCGACTGGCAAGGGTCGCACCAACTCTACATGCAGTAGGAATAACCAGAGGTAGGACGTTGGCCGTCCAGAATCCAATGAGGTAGTGAAGAAAGGAAAAAAAAAGGTCAGAATTGTTGTGACGCATATTTAAAAACAGAGTAGCATGTGAAAACCTTTTCTCATCAGCAAGGTGAATGCCATTCATTGAGCTGTCAATTTGAATTCCTAGTTTAGGCAGGTGGCAAAGTGGAGCTGGACGCTGATGCAGTCGAGAAATTGATGGTTAATGTTGAGGATTTCAACTATGCTCTTGAAAACGACATAAAACCGGTACGTTTTTTTATACAGGATTTGTTTCATCAGTTTTGCTTAAAAAGAAAAAAATTTTCGCCGTTTTTAATATCTGAGGAAGTTGGAGCCTCTTGAAGATAACCTGAATAAGATTGTAGTTGTAAACAGCAGCCACTCGTTAGCGGAGCTATCAGTAACGTTTCTGTTTTGGTTGGAAAAAAACGGTGTTGTTATTCGGTTTTGGGATTGTTGCGTTCACTTAATTTCCTGAAGGTTTTTGAATCGATTTTTTCGGCTTGTTGACGACCTTCACAAACTTCAAGTAAACTCATTTTATAAAATAAACTTCAACTTTTTGTAAATGAAAAACACTTTTAGGCATTCGGTCATTCCGATGAGGAACTAGAGAAGTATCTTATTGGTGGATTCATTTCATGGAGCCCACAAATCACTCAAATTTTGGAACAGGGCGCTTTACTGGTGAAGCAAGTACGAAGTCCCGATACGAGGGGCTTTGCTTCGGTTTTGTTAGCAGGTAGGTAAAAGTTCTACGATATATTAATCTTAGAAAAATATTGATTAAATCATTTAGCAAGGACAAAAATCCTTGTTGTGCTTTACGCCATCAATGTAGCTGGCAAAAAAAAGCGATTCTTTTGTACTCCCTTAAAAGCTTTCCGCATCCGCGTGTCATGAATGGACCTTTTCTTCAAAAGGGGTTGTGAACCGGGCAGGGATCGAACCATTTCCCTTCATTTCTGGACTCAACGTCCTCCCCACTACACCATTGACCGTTGCGCGGTTGAATCAGCCTGACAGTGCACCTACTGCGTATCTGCCTTTCAAGGTGAGGTACAACCTCCCATGGGCAATGTACGTGTTTTTCCTTGTGGTGGCTTCTTCTTTGCCAGTTTTTCGCAGATTTTCCGCAATACCACGTAACCCTATCTCAGCAATACCACGTTTTTCGCAGGTTTTCCGTGAATTCTTCCATCTCAGTGTTGATAGTATTAGCTTAACATTGCATAGGTCTCCTCTTTGTCCCTCTGTTATTTTCATCCTTGTCACATGTCTAGCACAGCTTCCCATTCTTCGATAACATTAAAAAATTGGGCGATAATGAAATGGTCATGAAACAGGTGGTAAATTTAGGGTCACCGAATTCTGGTAAAACGTGTTTGGCGGCAATGATTGCGAAAACTTCCGAATATCCATTTATCAAGGTAATCAGTGCCGAAGATATGGTCGGTTACACGGAAACAGCCAAATGTGCAGTGCTACGGAAAGTGTTTGATGATGCATATCGTTCGCCGCTCAGTTGTATTATTGTTGACGGTGTTGAGAGATTGTTAGGTTTGTTTTTAACTCCAGAAGTCTGCTTCTGTTTCCATCTGATTCTATTTCTGTTTCGGGCTCACACTTTTTTTTTTCAGAT